CTTCCTTCCTTCCTCCTCTGACCTATATGTCTTAGGTAGTTTTAGTCAAACATGGCTGGGAATACGAGAAAGAAACGAAGAATTCGCGCCAGAGAGCTATAAAGCCACATAAGCTGCGAAACAGCTGTTTTCCTGTATGTTGCCTGAACTCTCATGGTCTGGACTGAAAATGTCGCTAAACTGAGTCAATGTTCTACTCTCAAATCTGCTAATAACTTTGGAACTAAAATATCAGCTGAAGACTCTGACCACTGTAGCATCAGAGGTTTAATCCAGTTCTGTCCCTCACTGTCGTACCAGGGGCACTCACATAAAACATAGCTTACAGATTCGATAACACCCAAGCCACAGCCACAGTATCTATCTGGGAAAGGTATGCCCAACAAGCGGCCTTCGGAAACTGAAGAGGGTAGTGCTTTTCGTCTTGAGAGCATAATTGCTCGCCCATACTTTGGGACTGTTAAGATGAACAAATAGATAGGAATTGTGAAGCTTGGAGGAATCCCAATATAAAGGGAAGAACAAACCCTCCTAACTCTGCATATAGTACTCTTTACAGCTATCTTCATACTTTTTAAAATGATTTTACAAGCTGAAGGCCATCCTAGAGAAGCAATTACATTTTCTGGGCATTGCATGACATTCAGTTCTTCTTCTGTTCCTTGTTTCCACCCACCAGAGAAATTATCATGCTTCATATAGAACAGGAGGCTGTTATTCTCGGGGGGGGGGATATTTCAAGTCTCATGTGCAGAGCCAAAATCCAGGCTCTAGCTTTGATGGAGTGTTGGCCCACTTCTAACCTGAGGATGGTACCTGCTATATATTTCAGTACTCCACAGATCTAATGTAAGAACTGTGTTAACAGTCGATCTTTGGTTTTATCTGTTTTATGCATCCAGACTGCTGCTCCATATAATATTTGAGGTATCATCTTGGTGTTGAAAACTGTAATTGCAGCTGGCAGTTTTTGTCCACCTAAAGGCAGTCTAAACCACCATTTGTTACCATTGTCATAAGAATGGTTCCTTCCTTCCTTCCTTCCTCCCTTCCTTCCTTCCTCCCTTCCTTCCTTCCTCCCTTCCTTCCTTCCTCCCTTCCTTCCTTCCTCCCTTCCTTCCTTCCTCCCTTCCTTCCTTCCTCCCTTCCTTCCTTCCTTCCCTGATCCCCTCCCTCCCTCCCTTCCATCCATCCATCCATGCATCCATCCTATTTTTGACATGTGCAAAAGGGTTGCTTGCAATCACACCCTATCCTTAAAATACAGATTTTCCATACAAACAGATACCCAGTCTTTCGCGAGCCTATGAAAAGCAGGTACAGACAGCATGCATAGGCAGAGAATTCTGAGCAGTAACAAACTTCCACCTTGACATTATACTTACCACTCAGCAGAAGAAACTGTTCTGGATGTATTGGCATTGTTAAATGAGAGGGATGCCTATGGTTTTAAAGGTACGATAACTCAGTGAATACTGTTCTTCACATTCTATGGTAGTAGACTTTGGGGGAATGTTGGCGTTCCGGGGGGGGGCGTTCTTCACATTCTATGGTAGTAGACTTCTGGGGGAATGTTGGCGTTCCGGGGGGGGGGCTCTTTTATAATCACACAGGGTGCACCTCTGAGATTAAGTTATATTTCTTTCCCCAAAGAATACAGAAATGTATTACTGGTCCAAAACCATTAGTCTGGTACCAGGGATTGGATCCCACCAGAATACTTTGACTAATAACCGGCTAAATGAAATACATCTCACTCTGTAGGGTAAGTTGCACAAAATATTCAACCTATGGTTAAAGAATTGCATTCATACTCTTTATTTAACGTGTGTTACTTTTTATTGAACTGTGTATCATACCCTGTCTTAAAGACCAAAAGAGTAATTTACATTAAGGGGAGGGGGGGCAAAACAAGTGTCTGACAATATTTTGCTACTTATTATTTAAATTGCCCTTCTTCTAGGCAGCTTGGCATGACCTCCATTGTCTGCGCACACCCCCTTATTATTTTCACAACAGACTTGCAGAGTATGTTAGGCTGAGATATGGCTGATGGCCCAAAGACACCCACTTTGCTTCATAGCAGGTCCCCTCAGTCCTGCTCAGATACTTTGATCACTTTACCCTATTGGCTCTCTTCTCGGTTTTGGTCTTGGTTTTGTGCCATCAAGTCACAGCTGACTTACAGCAACCCTGCGGGGTTTTCAAGGAAAGAGACGTTCAGAGGTGGTTTTGCCACTGCCTGCCTCTGTATAACAACTCTGGACTTCCTTGGTGGTCTCCCAGCCAAATACTGACCAGGACTGACCCTGCTTAGCTTCTGAGATCTGATGAGATTGAGCTTCTCTTCTCTTCTTTGCTCTGTTCTGTATGCTGAACATAATAATGGCCTACAGCAGGGGTGGCCAAACTTGCTTACACAAACAACTAGTACACACACGTTTTTATTGGAATACATGCAAATTTGCTCTGTACTAACATTAAATGAGACTGCCGAAAATAAAAACAAAAGGGGTAAAAACAGATATTGATAATTATATTTATTTGTCCCATGATATTTGTTTGTTTGCTAATGATATTTATTTGTCTAAGAGAGAGAGGTGGAAAGAAAGAATGAAAGAGGTGGAAAGAGAGAGAGAGAGGGAGAGAGAAAGAAAGGAAATAGATGGGGGAGGGGGAAGGAAGGAAGAGAGAGAGAGAAATAAATGGGGGAGGGGGAAGGAAGGAAGAGAGAGAGAGAAAGGAAGGAAGGAAGGGAGAAAGAGAAAGAAAGATGGAAAGAAAGTAAATAGATGGGGAGGGAGGGAGGCAGAGAGAGGGAGATCCAATAGATGAGGGAGGACAGAAGGAAGGAAGGAAGGAAGAGAAAGAGAAAGGTGGAAAGAATGAAAGAGGGGGAAAGAAAGAAGGAAAGGGAGAAAGAGAGAAAGAAACAAAGAACGCAAATAAATGGGGTAGGGGGGAGGAAGAGAGAAAAAGAGAGAGAGAGAGGAAGCAAGGAAGGAAGGAAGGAAGCAAGGAAGGAAGGAAGGAAGGAAGGAAGGAAGGAAGGTGTTAGGGAACAAGCCTGATATTTGTTTTATGGACTGCTTATTCCTACACAATGGACTGTGCACATACACATAGGCTCACAGAACTGTACCCTTTAGGTCACCTGTTATGATGACACACATAGAGGGCGCCTGCACATACCTTACATGTAAATAAGGTTTCAGCAATACAGTTGCCCAGCCTGGTGAAGAAGCACAAATCTCCATTATTGTGAGCAATGAAACAACAACTTTGGGAAGAAACAGCCACCATAGCAAAACTACTTGTGGTCACGTATCACCCATCAACTGCTTTGTTCCTGAGCTGGCATTTCCTGCCAGATGGACATTTGGTTATCAATGGAACTGGCCAACTTCATCAGCACAACAATGAAGCATCCTGACGCCTGGATTTTCACACCTGTCCAGATGCCAATACTTCGAGTAAGGTTTTAGGTTACAATATTGGCCATCCCTCCTGGGTAACCTCCCCTCCCTACCTGCAACCCATAGGATTGTTTTTGGTATGGACTAACAGGTAGGTGGGTCAAGAGGTTGGCACAGTTACCACCCATCTCTTGAACCCACTAGAAAAGGAGAGAACCAGTTACCTGGCCCCTCCTACCTGGCTAGATAGCATCTCCCCCGTAACAACCCCTGTCTGCTTTTGCCCCTCTTAAGTCCCACTTGCTATCCCCAACCCTTGCCTCTACTATTGATCTCTTGATCTGCAGTCAAGAGACCCACACGTTCCGGCTGGTTCTGGTAGTGTGGATTCCCTTTGTTTTCCATTTCTTCCCATCCATTCTTCCTTGGAACAACCAAGCTTCAAGACAGATAAGTATTGCCCACCATCACCCCTACCTGCTAATGCAACTGTGCTTATTTCCTACTGTAATTCTTAGGAACTTGATTGAATGTGTGAGTGCATCAGTATTGTTTTATGAGACATATTTCTAGTAAAAGACATCTATTTTAACTACAACAGCTTCGTAATCCTTTACTGGTAACCCTTGGTGGGATCAGGACCTTGGTATAAATTGGCAAGAACCCATTTATACATTGCCAATTGCTGTAAATAAAGCTATTCGGCTAAAAGGAATTGGAGGCACCGCTGGGATTGCCTTGCGCGTGTGACGGTCAGCGAGTCAACACACTGTCTCTCGGATGTGCAGACGTAGAGGAATCGTTCCCTCCGGGGACCAGTGAAGGTTGTGTGAAAGGTTGCTGTCTACGTGCCTGGCTCTAGCAGAGCACTCTATTGTGTTTGGGTATCTTTGTCTCTTTCTGTCCTGAAAGCCTTAGAGCAACTCTGCCCCGTGCTTCCGGTCTATCGTGGGTGGGCGACGAGATGAATAGTGTAGGACGATACGTTAGCCCACAGTTGCACCAAGCACTGCATACACACACGCACACACCCCAAGCTTCCCTGAGGGCGAGGCTGCACTCAAAAAGGGAAATTCTAGCTCTTAGGTTGGCTTTGCAAACAAAGCGACGCCGTGGTAGAGGTCCCCACATCAGAAACATTGTCTGGAAACCTCCAAATCAAGTTAGAGGTAACCTCGCCTAAGGGTAGGAACCACAATCCTCGACAGCTAGTTAGCGGTTACCCAGTCAGAGAAGTGTGGCCTTGGCCCCCTGCACTCTCAAAACCTGCACCCTGGTTCAAGATGCACCTTGGGTGGGAGGGAGAGACCCCTGCCCTAAACTCAGGCTCCATGAACATCCATGAAGCTGCCTTATACTGAATCAGACCCTGGGCCCATCAAGGTCAGTATTGTCCACTCAGACTGGCAGCAGCTCTCCAGGGTCTCAGGCAGAGGTCCTTCCCTTCACCTAAATCCCTATCTTTGTAACTGGAAGTGTCCAGGATTGAACCTGGGACTTTCTGCATGCCAAGCAAGTGCTCAACCACTGAGCCACAGTTCCTACCCTATAGATTGCTAAAATAATTCACAATTGTGTACCTTTTTACAGACTTTTCCCTAAAACAAATTTGTTTCCTTTGAAAGTAGCCAGAACGTTTTCCATAATCATATCGCAGGTCTTTTGAACTGTCTTTCTCAGGGCCTCCTTGACAGAATCGTTCTTCAGAGTGAAGAGGAATGGGTTCAAGAAGGGGCAGACGATGGCGGTCAGAACGGCTGGCACCTTGTGGGCATCCAGGGTCTCTTTCTGTGAGGGAGTTACATAGGTGAAGATGGAGATCCCGCTGGAGATAGAGATCATTGTGAGGTGTGTGGCACAGGTGTTGAAGGCTTTAATCCGGCTGGTGGTGGTGGGGATGAGCAGAATTGTTGAAATGATACACGCATACGAAATCAGGGTCAGGACCACTGAACCAATGATCACAAGAGAGGACAGCATGAAATCCATTAGCTCAATGAAACGGGTGTCGGTGCACGACAGCTCCAGCAGAGGTCCAGTGTCACAGAAGAAATGGTTGAGGCTGTTGGATCTGCAGAAGGACAACCTGCTAATCTGGATGGTGGGGCAGAGGACAGAGAGAAACCCACACAACCAAGAAGCCAGAACCATCTTGACACACACCTCGCCCCTCATGATGGTGTGATAATGCAGAGGTTTACAAACTGCCACATAGCGATCGTAGGACATGGACGTCAAGAGCAAAAACTCCACGGTGCCCAACAAGAAGTAGAAGTAGAGCTGGGCCATGCAGGCTGAGAAGGGAATAGATTTGTCACCGGAAAGGAGGTTCCACAAGAGCTGTGGACTGATGACGGAGGTGAACATGATGTCTAATACGGAGAAGTTACACAGGAAGAAATACATGGGAGTATGGAGCTGACTGTTTCCCAACACAAGGCAGAAGATTAGCATGTTGCCAGCCAGCGATGTGATGTACATAGCCAGAAAGACCAGAGCAAGCAGGATCTCTCCTTGGTGCCCAAGGGAGAACCCCAATAGGATGAATTTGGTCACAGTTCTGTTGAAGGTCTCCATCTCTTGTCACTTTTTGCCTGCGACTTAGTAAGGCCACCTGTGGAGAGAAGGCTGGTAGTTAAGGATTCCACAATCTCCAGATGGACTTGGTCAGAGCTCCAGGCTTTTGTGTTCACAAAGAGAATTGGAGAATCAATCGACTATTTCTGATTTCTGCTACTTTGGTTCTCTCCCATTTATAAAAATCTCAACCCAGGATTTTCTAGATCCTAATTTCTCATTTTCTCATCATCATCATCATCAATCAATCAGTTTGGTGTAGTGGTGAAGTGCATGGACTCTAATCTGGGATAACCAGGTTTGATTCCCCACTTCTCTCTCTCTCTTTTTTTTTGTAAGTACCCAAGGGTACATTTTTATTGATTTTTTCATTATAAACTACAAACATACATAACAACAGACAAACACCTACCTACAACTAAGAAACACAAAACATATAGCGAGAGGCTTATATTTAATATTATATCTTTGATTAACTATGTGTTAATTTTCTATCCTTTTATCTATCTTACTGGCTTTTTCTTTTCTATGTTCTCAAATTTCCACAAATCAAGTTATTTCGCTTATAATATACCAGTCATAAAATCTCTTCCAAGTGTTCTGAAAAGTCCATTCAATTCCATCTCTCATCTCTAATGTCAGGTTATCATTCTCAGCCATTTCAAACAGTTTATTCACAAATTCTTGTTTCGTTGGAGTCTCCATTGTTTTCCAGTACTTAGCATATAAAATTCTTGCAGCTGTTTATAAGTGAACAATCAAATACCTGTCTGTTTTATCAAAATCTTTCGGAAATATATTCAGTAACAGTGTCTCTGGAGTAAAAGGAACCTTACATCTTATTATTTTTTGCATTATTTCATGTACCCATTTCCATAATCTTTTTGTTATATCACATAACCACCACATATGATAAAAAGAACCAATCTTATTCTTATATTTCCAACATTTGTCTGAACAATTAACATTTTGTTTAGCTAGTCTGTCTGGTGTAATATACCATCTATAAAACATTGTATACGTATTCTCTTTATAGGATACTGCATTAGTCAGTTTAACATTTTTCAGCCAAATCTGCTCCCATTCCTCTAGATTAATATTACGACCAATGTTGTGGGCCCGTGCAATCATTTCCCCCCCCAAAAAAATTTCATCTATCATCACATCATCTAGTAAAATCTTATATAATTTATTTATCACTTTACTTTCTGCAGTTAATATAGTTTCTTCCAACTTAGTTATTTTATTATTAAATCCTAGCTTCTTGTCCTTCAGGTATATCGATTCCAATTGTGCTTTTCTCCACCCGGATATCTGTTCTGGTATTTTAAGGTTATCTTTTTTATCCAAAATGTCCTGGTATCTTAACAGCTCTTCTCCTACATAAACATTCGGTAAAGTAAATGCCTCTAAAGGTATTATCAGTCTCAATCTTTTAGTATAAAAGTTTTTATGTATAAAGTCCCAGACCTTTAGTAATCCCGCTCTCAACCAGTGCTGCTTAAAATACTTTTGGGAGCCTGCTTTCTCATACCATAAAAAAGCATTCCACCCTAACAGTAAGTCATGGCCTTCAATTTTCAAAAGTCTCTTATCTTCTAGTGTAATCCATTCTTTAATCCATACCAGGGCTGCTGCTCTGTGATACAATAACCAGTTCGGAACGCCAAATCCTCCTCTTTCCTTTGCATCATGTAGCATTTCCAGTCTTATTCTTGCCCTTTCCCCTTGCCATATAAACTTAGATGTTAATTGGTCTAACTCTTTGAACAGCTTTTGATTTTGCAATATAGGGATAGTTTGAAATAGAAACATCCATCTAGGTAAAATATTCATTTTTATTGTAGCTATTCTTCCCATCATAGAGAGTTGCAGGTTTTTCCATTTTTCTAAATCTTGTTTAGTTGCTTGTAATAATGTTTTATAGTACATTTTCTGTGTATTACATTTATTTGTGACAATAATAAGGTTCCACAACAGTTGTGGATTGATGACGGAGGTGAACACGATGTCTAATACCGAGAAGTTACACAGGAAGAAATACATGGGAGTATGGAGCTGACTGTTTCCCAACACAAGGCAGAAGATTAGCATGTTGCCAGCCAGCGATGTGATGTACCTAGCTAGAAAGACCAGAGCAAGCAGGATCTCTCCTTGGTGCACAAGGGAGAAACCCAATAGGATGAATTTGGTCACAGTTCTGTTGAAGGTCTCCATCTCTTGTCACTTTTTGCCTGCGACTTAGTAAGGCCACCTGTGGAGAGAAGGCTGGTAGTTAAGGATTCCACAATCTCCAGATGGACTTTGTCAGAGCTCCAGGCTTTTGTGTTCACAAAGAGAATTGGAGAATCAATCAACTATTTCTGATTTCTGCTACTTTTGTTCTCTCCCATTTATAAACATCTCAACCCAGGATTTTCTAGATCCTAATTTCTCATTTTATCATCATCATCATCATCATCATCATCATCATCATCATCATCATCAATCAATCAGTTTGGTGTAGTGGTGAAGTGCACGGACTCTACTCTGGGAGGACCGGGTTTGATTCCCCACTTCTCCACTTGCACCTGGCTGGGTGACCTTGGGCAAGTCGTAGTTCTGATAAAAAGAGCTTTTGGGAAGACATTAGAGAGAGGTTGCGTTCATCCACATTATTGGCATTCCTCGCTGTGTCACAGCAAGAGACTGGTGACAAACGCCAACTGAGAGAGAGAGTTGAAAAAGACATACGAAACCACTGTTTAATCTTCACAAAGTGTGTTCTCTTTATCTTTTACATTCCTCAGAACTACATGTTTTCAAATGGAGGAGTGATAAACACTGTTCAGGAACTCATATAATGAGGACTTCTCAGTTTGCTTTGCACACTTTATAGCTCCGTCAGGACGTCTCAAAGAGTAAACATGCCAGGAGCTCAGCCAAAACAACGTCAAGAATAACTACATCAAGATTTTGTATTGTTTTGTATTGTACTCATATTATCATTTACTGGTTTTGCTTATGTTCATAAAATGTACTTCATATATAATGAATGAATGCTACTTAATAGAGGAGATTTGTTATAAGGAGATTTGTTATAATAATACAACTATGTGTGTTAAAGATATAGAAGAGTAACTTTCCTTTGTGCGCCCTATTTTTCCTATTGTAGTTCTGACAAGAGCTGTCCCTGAAAAAGAGCAGTTTCTGTCAGAGCCAGTTTGGTGTAGTGGTTAAGTGTGCGGACTCTAATCTGGGAGAACCGTGTTTGATTCCCCACTCCTCCACTTGCACCTGCTGATGTGACCTTGGGTCAGTCACAAGCTCTGGCACAGCTGTCCTTGAAAAAGGCCCAACAAGCGGCCTTCGGAAACTGCAGAGGGTAGTGCTCTTCGTCTTGAGAGCATAATTGCTCGTCCATACTTTGGGACTGTTAAGATGAACAAATAGATAGGAATTGTGAAGCTTGGAGGAATCCCAATATAAAGGGAAGAACAAACCCTCCTAACTCTGCATATAGTACTCTTTACAGCTGTCTTCATAATTTTTAAAATGATTTTACAAGCTGAAGGCCATCCTAGAGCAGCAATTACATTTTCTGGGCATTGCATGACATTCAGTTCTTCTTCTGTTCCTTGTTTCCACCCACCAGAGAAATTATCATGCTTCATATAGAACAGGAGGCTGTTATTCTCGGGGGGGGGGGATATTTCAAGTCTCATGTGCAGAGCCAAAATCCAGGCTCTAGCTTTGATGGAGTGTCGGCCCACTTCTAACCTGAGGACTGTACCTGCTACATATTTCAGTACTCCACAGATCTAATGTAAGAACTGTGTTAACAGTTGATCTTTGGGGTTTTGGGGGGGGGGTTGTAAACATTTTATTTTTAGGATATATTCAACAAAGTCCAACATTTGTATTACACTTCTTATCCCTTTATATCCTACCCTCCTCCCTTTCCCCCCCTATGTATGGATTCCCACAATGCTACAACCTCCTGCATATCCTTAGGTTACTCTTAAGTACTCCTCGTTATCTCTACATATTCAACAGGTAACTCAATAGTTATCAAAGCAAAATAAATTGTCTCTCACATCCCAATATTTTTCCAAGTATTCTTTTAAATCTTTCCAGTCTTCAAAAAAGTCTTCTGCTGCCATGTTATTCAATTTCCTTGTAATCGTATCCATTTCAACCATGAAAAGTAGTTTTTTAATCCATTCTCCAATTCCAGGAACTTCCTCCTGTTTCCAACTTTGTGCATATATCATTCTAGCATGTAACAATCATGTACCACATAGGCGTCCTTTTTGCCACATTAACCTCTTCCATTTTGAGCCCCAAAAGTAATATTTCTGGCTCTTTTTTAAATTTGCAGTTAACTATTTTTTCCATCTCTGCATGAATCTCAACCCAAAACTTCTTTGCTTTTTCAAATTTCCACCACATGTGGTAAAACGAGCCTTCTACTTTTTTACATTTCCAACATTTACTCGACATTTTTGTATTCATATTTGCAATCTTTTTTGGAGTAACAGTTGATCTTTGGTTTTATCTGTTTTATGCATCCAGACTGCTGCTCCATATAATATTTGAGGTATCATCTAGGTGTTGAAAACTGTAATTGCAGCTGGCAGTTATTGACCACCTAAAGGCAGTCTAAACCACTGTTTGTTACCATATGGCAACCCTTCATTACTAATTCACAGATTTGTTCATAATTGTCCCCCCCCCTTTCTAATGTTGTAATCTTTGAACTTATGTTCTTTATTGTGGTTTGCAAGAAAGAGCGGGATCCTTCCTTCCTTCCTTCCTTCCTTCCTTCCTTCCTTCCTTCCTTCCTTCCTTCCTTCCTTCCTTCCTTCCTTCCTTCCTTCCTTCCCTGATCCCCTCCCTCCCTCCCTCCCTTCCATCCATCCATCCATCCATCCTATTATTGACATGTGCAAAAAGGTTGCTTGCAATCACATCCTATCCTTAAAATACAGATTTTCCATAAAAACAGATACCCAGTCTTT